ACTGAAAGGGTTTATACTTTCATTTTTACTGGTGTCAGTGACTGATAGGAAAGCAATGTATTAATATGCATTAAGGAAAGGCATAATTAAAGCTAAAAGGGGACAAAGTCCTTGTTTCATTTAAGCCATAAGAATGAATCTTGTAGAATTTAAGTATGGAGTAAGCTGAATAGTTTGTGGATCTTCCGTACTCCCATGGAACTGTAAACAGGTTGTACCTGTTCTCCTCCTGGTGCGGGCGTGGGGGAACCGTCTCCCTGCCAGGCTGCTATGGATTTGATGCCAGCGCTCCTCCTGCCTGTAGGGTGGAGGTGTCCTCTCCAAACGTCTGCCTGAGTCTTCATTGGAGGAAGGAGGAAAACCCAGGCTCCTATTCTGCCTCGTGTTACTGGGGTCTTTGCACATGGCCTGAGGTCTGCTTTCCCGTCCTGCTGTGAAAGCTTGTGACTGGGGTGCAGTTGCCCTGAGGCAGAGGCACAGAGCATGGGGTTCCCAGGCAGCCAGGACCCGGATAACCTCCCTTGGCTTCCCTGTGGCAGAGTGGTCCCAGCTCTCTGCTGAGGACTGATTGGCTCTGGAGGCTGCCTGGGCTTGGGTAAGGCTTTTTCTTTTTAATGAAAAGGGGAAAATTAAAAAAAAAAGAAAAAAAGGTGACAAGTCTGCCTTGAGTCTGAAATTACCCGCAAAGTCACCTTTTCCAGGGCTCACAGACACCCTGCCTCCGCTCTCAGCTAACCATATGCTGCCACCGCTGCTGGCCGCGTCCTGGGGGATGGCTTTTTCCCCTTCAGCAAGCCTCCAGAAATGTCATCGAAATTTATATGCTTATTCACAGAGCCGATAAAGCAGAAAACTGGCGTTTCAGCTATTTTTGTTTTGCTTTGCAGATGGAGAGTAAGGAGCATAAATCTCTCCCTCATTGGGCTCTGTGGCCCCCACTCTGGTTCACATCAGACACTGCTCAGCCCTTGGGGGTGACACTCTGGGCTGTGGAACCCACCCCTCCCGTGCCACCACCCACGTCGAGCAGCCGACTCCAGACTGGGAGCCGAGATCCAGCCATGTTTGTTGCTCCTCGGGGCCCAGGACACCATGGGACCCTTCTCTCCCGGTGGCCCATGGGAGGGCGTGTCCTGGAGGAGAAAAGAACCTCATGGTGGCACAAGGCTGCTCCTGTGACAATTGTCTCTCTGCAAGTGAGCTGGGGACATAGGGCTCCAGGCTCTGATCTACTTACAGATCATCTGCAGCAGGGCTCCAAAATCAACGTGTCCTCATATTATTGCTGAGTGACAGCCTGTCTTCAGTCTTGCAGGCTTTCCTTTCCTTTCCTCGAGGTCCTATGGGCTCAGCTGGGCACTTCCCACCAGGACTGCCATGTGATGCCCGATGCGGCTGTAGTCATCCGAGTGCTCCACTGGGCTTGGTGTCCTGAGGGCGAGTGCATGGGGCTGCTAGAGGCCCTCCACCATGGTGTCCTGGGGTGGCTGACTTCTGGAGTAATCCTAGCATCCTCCCAGGTGATCATGCTGAGAGTCAGGTGGAAGGCACATGGCCCATCATCAGATGTCCTGGAGTGTCACTTCTGCTACACTCCATAGATTACCGGAAGTGGCTCAGGTCAGACCAGGGGCAAAAAGAGGGACTATAGAGCCTGCCTCCACCCGTGTGTGCAGGAGGGCGCCCAGGGAGCTGAGGAGAAGCTTCAGGGTGTAGGGTAAGGAGCTCTCCGTCTACTGTTGGTTGGGAACTGACTCTGGAGCCTTGGAGCTCTCAGTGTGTTAGCAGGGAGTGGCTGGGGAACCTCTGTCCCCTTCACCAGCCCCTGATGCCCCCTCAGGTGAACAGCCCTTACCCCCGTCGTGTTGCACATGCCCATCACGTAGACAGGGGGAGTCTCCAAGTCACGTCTGGCACCTCGTCCCTCGTCCCCGTTTGCAGGGGAAGGGGCAAGGGTGCGTGAGATCTACCCTCCTCTCTCATTCCTGGAACAAAGACCTTTGCCTGTTGGCTGCATCCTGGTGACAGATCTACAATCTGACTGCTTCTCTCCACCTTCTCCTCCACCTCTCTGGTCTGCGCCACCCTCATCCCTCAGCTGGACTATCACTAGCCACCCTGACCTCTGTAGTCTGTGCCCCTTAAAGCGAAGTCAGGATCTCAGAGGAAAAGCCGGAATCTTTACAGTGTCCTCCGGGTCCAGCCCCCCGTGACCACCCTGGCTTCACCTCCTACTTCTCTGCCTCTCACCATCTGCCACACTGGCTTTCTTATGTTCCTCTGACAAACCAGCTGGGTTCTTGCCCCAGGAACTTTACACTTGCTGTTCCCTCTGCCTGGGGTACTTTTACTTCAGATACATGTGAGGCCCGCTCTCTCACCTCCTTCAGGTCTCTGCTTCCGTACTACCTCATCAGGAGACCCTCTCCCTGTCACCTGACTTAAAATCAGAGTCTCACCCACCTCCCTCTGTCCATTTCATTGCTAGCTTGAATTTGCAGCACAATGTTTCTTGCCTCTTGGCATCATTTTGCCAGGAGTTTGTTTGTTTCCTGTCTCTCTCTTTCACTCCGGGAGAACAGGGGCTAGGTCCACTTTGGTTATTTACTGCAGCTCCGTATCTATAATTAGGCCATGCACATAGCAGGTGCACAGTAAATCCTGAATGAATGGATAGACTGCAGTCTTAGTTTTTGAGACACGAGGTGTAACAACCACTCAATTTTCGAGACCAGGGTCAGCAACCTTTCTGTAGAAGGCCGGACAGTACAGTACTTGGTTTAGGCTTTGCAGGCTATAGGCCTCTGTCACAATGACAAAAACCTGCCATTGTAGCACACACGCAGCTGGGGCTGGTATGTCAACACATGGGTGTGTTTGTATCACAATCAAACTTCATTTACAAAAACAGGCATCAGGCTACATTTGACTCAGGAGCCCAGGGTTTTCCAACACCCGCTTAAGCTATGAAAAGTCTTCTAAAATCAAAATTGTGGTTTTTTGTTTTCTAGATCAAACATTTGAAGCAAAGAGATGGTGAGTGGCTGACCTGAGATCATACAGCATGCCAGAAGCAAGGGTGGGTAGGGAATCCTGGTTTCCACTCAGGGCTCAGTTTACCCAAGCTGCCTCCCTGTGGGCTACTTGGACAGGAGGCCAGAGGGATCCCTAGCAACAGGGCTGGGGAGAGGCTTCTGTTAGCATCACGGAAAGCTCACAGTAAGTGCTAAGTGCTTGAGGTGCTAATTGCCCACGGTGTTGGTTGGGTGTTGGTGTACAGGGCTCCAAACTGCTACTGAGAGATGGAGGGAAGGAAGAGGGTGAAGGACTGGGATAGGGCCTGCATGTCAGGAATAGGGCTGACTGCTGGCTGGGAGGAGGAAGTGTAGGAAGTGGACGCCGACTTGCAGTTGAAGATGCAGGAGGACAAAGCAAAGGTGGGGCCTTGGGATGAGCCCAGGGGTGGGAGCAGAAGGAAGCAGGGCCACGGGGAGCTTGGGGACCAAGGAATGGCCCACGGGTGGCCTCCTCTCTAGCCCTCCTGTCAGTTGTCTCTGCTGGTGGCTACATTGGGGGAGGAGCATGCCATTAAGTGAGACACCCTGAGGCACCCAAAAGCTATTTGCTGACACCACTTGCAGCTGGGACAGCAAGTCCTTTATTCTCGAAAAGGGCTCTGGTTAGTATACCCCGGCCTTCCCCCAGGGTTGACACAGGGAAACGGAGGAGCTAATGGGCAATAAGAATTCCCCACACAGGCCAAGGCCAAAGCCAGAGCCAGGCTGATCCATAGCCTGAGAGCTTGGAATGGAATTACTCTGCCATAACTTCTTTGCCTGCTAGGATTAGTGACAGGAAATGGAAAATAACAATGGCTCGAACGCAATGGAAGTATACGAAGCTGGTGTCACACTGCCCAGTGCTGTTCAAGCAGTTTCACAACATTGTCAGAGACCCGAGCTTCTTCTGTCTTGTTGCTCTACCATCTCAGTCTGAGATGGCTGCTCAAGCTCCAGCCATTACTCCTGCAGTCCAACAACTAGCAAGAAAGAGGCAGGGATGAAAAAGTGCACAGACTTTCCATGTAAGAACATTCCCTGATAGTCATGCAGGACATCTTAATCCCATTGTCTAGCAAATTTAGTTATATAGTCACATATTGGAGCAAAGGAGTCTGGGAAACAGCTTTATTCTGAATGTCCTTTTCTTTGACCAGAAATCAGGGGGAAAACAGATATTGGGGGACAAGTAGCAATGTCTTCTTCAACCTGGTAAACCCTTCACCTGTAAAGAGCAGACCTTCAGGTCAAACCTCAGGTCCCCTCTTCCCAACACCCTGCCTGATGCCCTTTACTCAGCAACCACCCAGCACTTTCACTGAAATTTGTTTCCATGTCCAGCTTCCCCACTGGGCTGAAAACTCCCTGAGAGGAAGGAACTTGTGCTGCTGGTCTTCCATACTCAGCACCCAGCACTGGGCCAGCTGGTGGTATACAGTAGAGCTCAATAAATGCTTACTGAACAACTTCTAGATATTAGGAATGTGTTGCATTTCACACCTCTATTTATTCCACAATACCTTCCCTTTACAAGGTGTTAGCAAATACCTTTCATCAAACTCATGGCGTCTCACTAAGGAGTCCTAAGGAACCCTTGTGTTTTCAAGGAAATGACAAGCGATCGGCGGTTACAGCCGGGTGAACGTTTTCTCTTTTTCACCGGATCTCAGTTAAGTGCAGAATGTGGTTGGAGTGTATAAATATGACTTACTGTGTTGCATGTTATTAATGGTTGACAGAATCACAAGTTGAACCCGGTGCTTTTCACTCACTTGCAGCAAGAAGCATCAGAGAAAGCCTTGAATGATGTCTTGCATGATGTCCTTAGCCGGGAATGAACCCTTTGATCTGCCCACAGCCCCAACAGAAGCCTTCTGCTTCCTCCCGGGGCCACGCCCTCCTGCCGGGCCACGCCCCAGAGCCCCCCCCCATGCCCTCCCCATCTCTCTGTCCACCGCCTCTCCTTTTCCAAGCAGAGCCCTTCCTTTGCTGACAGACAGGCGGCTGGCTTTCTCTGGGGCCGTTTGTCTGTCAGATGGCTTATTTCCTTGCCTCCCTCAGGCGCTAATGGAGTTTAATCCCTCAAGAGGCAGGTCCTGGATTGGGTTCCCTTCGGCTGGTGGAGCTGTCTGCCGGAAGGAAGGTGGGTGTTGACTCCTATCCACCCACATCTACCGCCTCCCTAGGGTGCTGTCTTTGGTAGGTGGGACCCACTTTACTGGGAGATTCTGGGAGGCTACATGTGCCACCTTGGGGGTTGTGGGGAGGCATAGCCAATGGCCTCTGCCAGAGGGACAAAAACTTGGACTCCTTGTCTTCAAGGCAGGGGACAACTCTGTGGTGATGTTCACGCATCAGAGTTCCCTGTGGGAGCAGATTGTTAGGATGACCAGCTTGTCCCAGTTTTCTTGAGACTAGATTTTAAGGAAGCCTTTGGTTCTGGGCAAACTGGGACAGTTGGTGGGTTAGTGGCCCTGGACTTTGTGGGGTACACCTCTCCCTCCCTGCTCCCACACCCCCTGCAGGTCCTTCCCCACAGCTTGTCCTCCCTCCCTCCTGCCTTGTGTTAGGCAGCTTTCTGTCACTGTGGCAACAGGCCAGAGAAAAATCACCTTAAAGGAGAGGGTTATTCTGGCTTGTGGCTTCAGAAAAGGTCCATGGTCTGCTCTGTGCTTTTGGGACTGCGGTGAGGTAAACGCCTTACCGCAGGGCATCTGGGAAGCAATGAGAGAGAAGCAACTCGGGTCCCAGTATCCCTTCCTGGTGACCCGACTCTTTCCCATGAGGCCTTGCCTCCCAAGGCCCCAGGACCTCCCCCTAGCAGCACCAACTGGAGACCAAGCTTTCAACACACAATCGGGATATTTCCACAGCACAGTGCATCCTCATCTGCTGGCCAGGACCCCTGGGGAGAGGCCTTCCTGGTCTCCTCCCCTCTGAGTGTCATACTGTTCTCACAAGGTGCTTGGCTGTAGGCCAGGAGCTCCCTTGGAGCTAAACCCAGATTTGTTTCCTTGTCAGGGGTTTTGAGTGGTGCCCGATGTCCCAGTGCTCCGATCCGGCTCAGGTTCCCCACCCTTGGTGACACTTGGATGGTTTCTCTCCCCTGCTTGTGCTCTTTGGTCTTGTTGGAGAGAGGCTGTTTCTTTCCAGTGGCTGCCTATTTCCCCTAGGCTCTGTCCCTTCTCTCTTGGAGAGATGGTGCAGTGCAAGGCAAGAATCTGAGCACAGGCTTCCAGCCCTGGCCTGGGGCCCATCCCTGAACTCCTCCAGGCCAAATTTGGTGACCCCAGAAAAATGGCTCAGGGTAACAGGAGGACAGGTTGGGGGTAGGAGAGGTAGGAAAGCACTGGGCAGAGAGACTGACTCCAACCTGGCACTCAGCAAAGTCACTTCCTCTGGGCCTCTGGTCTCAGGTTCCTCACCTGTGAGAAGAGATGGCTGATGTCCCCTAAGCCTGTGTCCCCTTCTACACGGGGGGATCAATTCGGGGGGTGGTGGTCGCAAGGCAATGGTTGCATTGGCTTCTTTGCTTGCTCAACTTTACAGCTTGGCCCCACTTCTTGGAAACTTCTGGAGTTTTACTGGGGGTCAGCCCCTCCACTCTTCTCTCCTGGGTACTGCAGAATTCCTAGCCAGTTGTCTATCCCCAGGCTTTCTTCTGCATACCGCCCCCCCCATCTTTCTGTTACAAACTGAACTCCATTCAAGAACTCCCAATTACAGATCAAAGCCTGAACATATTGGTGGGATGATAATGGCCTTCCACCTTTGTGCCAGCTCCAGGTGTGGGCCCTGGGCAAGGTCACAGCACAACCTCACCTACCCTTTCCGGGTGAGGGGCTGAACAGGACTTTCAACAAGTTTTTTTTTTTTTTTTTTTTTGGTACCGGGATCGAACTCGGGACCTTTTGCTTTCGAGGCAGGCGGTAGAACCACTGAGCTAAATTCCCAGCCCAAGTGTGTTCTTTTGAAGGCTTGGCAGATGGGCCTTTTTCTTGAGCTGCTCAGCAGTCCTCCCTAACCTGGGCACTTGGTTCCTGACTGTAGTTCTTCTATTGTGCAAGAGTTGGGAGGGGGAGTTTAATTTTCTCTGGGGTAGGATGAGCCTTCCTGAGGGGGTCTGGGCTAAAAATGGCCATTCCATTGGAGGAATGTCAAGACTCACTGGTACTTCCTGTGAAATACCATTAACAGAGTCTCCCTACCCCCCATGACCGCAGCAACTTAGAGGCTATTCCAGGTCAATAATTTCATGTCCCATATGGAGTATGCTACAACGCTGGTGATCAACACATTAATTTGAGCTGAGAAATTAACATCCGACAATGGCCTCCATGTAATAGCCCCGTCAGAGAGCATCATGTTGAATGTGACTTAACGTTTTACTTTTGGAAAAAACGTTAATGTAGATTTTCTTCAAATATAACATCCTGATGAAATGTGCACATTTCCTAAATGCCAGTAGGATGAATTGACACCAACAGAACATACTCACCCATAGACCTACACCTGGATTGAGAAACAGACCATGGCCAGCACCCCAGAGGCCAATGTGCTCCCTTCTCGGCCTTACCTGCTCATGGGCAAGCACCATCCTGACTTCTAAACCCAGAGTAGTCCAAGTTTTCCCTGGTCTGGAACTTTCTATAAAAGGAGCCACACAGTGTGTCTTGCTGTCTTGCTCAGCACAATGTGTGCGATCACCTCTGTTGGTTGAGCACTGTAGCTAGATCATTCTTGTGGTACAGGATTTTTCTTGCACCAGTGCTCCTAGATTTATTTATCTATTGCACTATTCACAGGCATTGGAATTTGTTGTTATTCTGGGGTGATTACAAATAGCAGTGGGGTGAACATTCTCGGGGAGCCATTGAGTATACAACTACTAGTTGAGTGGCTGGGCCAGAGAGTGTGCTGAGATTGGATTTTAGTTGAACTTAAAAAAATTATTAAATCCTGAATTAGGATTAAGAAACAGATGCAGAACATTACCGGAAATAATATGAAAGAGCCGTGAACCTACCATAGAGGTTAGACAGATAACATGTTGCCACATTTCTTTCATTTCTTTCTTTCATGTATTTATAAAATACAGATTTCCAAGTGTAACTAAAAACCCCATCTCTCTCTTTCCCCTCCCTTTCCCAGGGTCACCATAGTCTAGGGGCTGGTGTGTCATCTCAGACATGATCTATACTTGTATCGAGAATGCATCTAGCCACAAACACAGGGCCTGTTGTTTTGAATGCTTTCAGATTTTACGAAGGCTGTAGCATCCTGTACATATCCTCATATCATTTTGCAACCTGTTTTTTTTTTTTTTGCTTAACGTTATTTGTTTGTAATAGTGGAACCATGTCATTCCCCTAAGTGTCCCACCACAGACAGTGTAGTCCATTGACTGTGGCAATTGACACCCATCAACATGTACCAACATGGAAACTCAGGGTGCAGTGATATGGATTTTTTTTCTCTATTTTTGGTGGGAAACCCTTTGTGTGTGTGTGTGTGTGTGTGTGTGTGTGTGTGTGTGTGTGTCCAGGTTGCCCTGTTGAGCCTGAAATGCTGTGCATTGTAGAGACTATTTTATGGCCATGCAACCAAGTACAAATTGAAAAGGAGATTTGTCGCTAGGACCCAGAAAGCCCTCCCAGCAGGCTTTCTAAGCCCTGGATGGGGGATGGCACAAGGCAGTCCCAGACCTGAGTCCCCGCTGCAAGGGCTTGTGGGCTCCTGCTCTCTGCTTCGCCACTGCTGATGCTGACACTGACGCTGTCCATGTTGGCGGGCCCCCACATCTGTGCTTCTTCCTGGGCAGATGCTGGTGACTCAGGCTCTTGGCTGTCTGCCTCAGGCAGGCCTATAGTGGCCACAGGCAAAGCAGGCTTTTGCCAGGTCTCCTCTGGCAGTCTTGAGGCACAGTGCCTACAGAGCAGCTGGGCTTCTAGAGCCAGGGCTGGGAGGCACATGGCTGCTGGGTTCTCTGGGGCTCTGCCTCCTGGCTCCTGGCTGTTCCACTCACACATGCTCTCTGCTGAGCAGTGGCCAGCAGCCTAAGGACCTGGCAGGACCCACCACTTCCAAGGTCCAGTCCTTGAGAGCATTTGCGCGGTTGCTCTTTGACCTATGGGTTGGCTGACTTGGCTCATCCCCTCAGCTTTGGCTGGGTGGCCTGTATCATGGATCTGGTGGATAGAAGCAGGCTATTGACAACTGTGTTCAGAATAGAATGGCTCAGTCCTGGGGGTTTCAGTTAGCCACAAATATGGGACGGTGTAGGGGGAGTGTCACATGCCCAGGACTGTGAGCAAGTCTTACACATATCCTGGCTGTCGAGTATTTGGGGCGGGGTGGCTTTCTTCCTGAGGTGGCCATGTGTAGCACATGTTGCTAGGTATCTTTTACAGCACCTGTCCCCTCCCCACTTAGGGGGCTGTGCTGCCATCAGCTGTAACCTTCACAGGGTGACCCCTGGAAATTGGCACCTCTCCAAAGGTATGGAAAACTGGAAGTGCCTAGGAGTTTTCTCTCCCCCTTCTTACAACCTCCCCAACCTCAGGGCATCCCAGCTCCATTGCCTGGAGGCGGATCAAATTCTGGGGTGTAATTTCTTCTCCAGAGGCCCCCGCCCTGTGCCCTGTGGATAAGGCAGGACTTTGAATTCGTAGCCCAGCTTGGTTTCCTTCACTGTCCTGTTCAGGTCCTGTGTCCCTTGCTGGCTTCTCCTGGGAGCACTTCTTTAATAACACACCTTTACCCACCCCTCTCCATAGCGCCCTCTCCCCGACAGCTCTCATCCCACTTTCTTTCCCCTCCTCACCCTTTTTCCCCTCCTTTCTCACTTCTCCTCCCCCATCTGTCCTCTCCTCCCTTTCCCCATCTCCCCTCCCCTGCTTCGAAGGAAGGACTAGTGCCCAGGAGCCAGGCAGACCTGGGTTGGGAACCTACCAAAACCTCAGTGTCCTGATCTGAAGCATGGGGACAGAAACAGGCTTGGTGAAGACACAGTGAGGTAGGTGGTGGTGGAAAGCACTGAGGGGCAGGCCCAGGGTCATCACTGCCAAGGTGGCTCAGCTTGTGATGAGAGTGACGAGTGTGACATGTGTCTGGCAGGCAGACCCTCAGGGAGCTGCCCCATGT